GACTGACAGGGTATGGGGGAGTAAGGTGACTGTTACATGGTATGGCGTTTTTCTAAAGAGAACCATGTTCTAAAACTGACTGAGGTGATGGCTGCAGCACGATTGGGAACAACCCAAAAGCACTGAGCTGCAATAATTTCAGGAGCGACGGCTATAGCCCACAGGCTCTACCTCAGCAAAACTGCTATGTGCATGAACAACTGGTCACCAGAAGCCGCAGTGGGGGGGAGCGACAGGATGCAGGAGGCTTGGGGATCGGAAGTGCCATGTCACACAGAGGTCTGCCTAGAGCTGAGCCCTACAGACACCAATAAAGGCTAGGATAGCAAAACAGTTTCCAATAGGAAAACACAAAGGGTTTTACAGCAATGTGGGGAACTTATTTAAAACTATGGTTACTCAGCTAGCGGGGAATTTGGCAGAAACAGAAATTCAGAACAGGCCCTCTCAAAGGTGCGAATTCAGTACAGTTCCAAACATCCATATGGAAAAACCAAACTCTCCGCTTACCTCATGTCTCACACAAAAGGGAACCAGGGACCTGAATGTGAAGAGCAAGTACATACAAGCTCTGGGCCAGGCAGACAAAATCTTAGTAAGCCAGACTTGGGCTTGAAATCCTAGCGTGTGAGAGGCTGAAGCAAGACTGTAGCAAATCCAAGGCCAACCTTGGATACACTAAGAGACGTCTCAAAAAATTAAATCAAATCTGAGGTGCTTCATGCTGCATATCTTTTAGTCCTAGGATCCGGGAGGCAGAGGAAGGTAGATCTGTGAGTTCAAGGCCAGCCTCATTTTCATGGTGAATGAGTTCCAGTGGCCAGGGATATATAGGTCCATGGTGACTGGATGCCTCTGGCCTCTTCGTGTTCATGTGTACATACCCACACAGAGAGGCACACAGATAAACATAATTTAAAAAGATAAAAATAAATCTTGAAAAGAAATATTATAACCGGTTTAGGTGATAGACATGGTAGTTTATATCTATAATCAATCCCAATACTTGGGAGGTTGAGGAAGGAGGCATAGGCCAGCCAGGACTACACAGTGAGACCCTATCTCAACAAAACCAAACTGCCTAAAGTGGAAATCTCAGGATTCAAGGATTCAAGCAAGGAACCTGTGGGGAAGAGCCCTGCCAAAGCCAGGGCTAGAACAACCCAGGAGGCCACCACGGTAGGTGTCCAAGGACCTTCAGGGCAGCCATCTTGTTGGGACAGTCATATGGGTCAGCACGGCCTTTACTTAGCCCCCTTTAAATGGGAAGGAGATCCCCCTGTAGCAGTTGGCAGGACCCCTACCTACGCTGACTTTTCTTCTTAGGCTCCCTTTACCCTGTCCAAACCAGGGACAAAAGCACCCTTGTTGGGTCCCTCTACGGGCCAAGCTGGACTACATGTCCCTGCCCAGGCCAAGAGTGATCAGTGGAGCATCTGCAGACTTAGCACCCTAATCCAGCCCCTCTCCCTTCTCTTGGGGAGCTGCAGCAGGAACACTAAGAGGTACCATGCCAGTTAGCCACGCAGGAGAGTCTTTCAGTAAACCATATCATGCTAGGAAAATTGGGAGACTGTAAGCAAGACTACCCAGACAGGAACCCTCCTCATCACTTGGGCTCTGTGAAGGCCTGGGTAGCCCAGCCAGCTCAGGTACGGGATGGTTGAAGCCCCAAATGACCACATGGGTCTCACTGTGCTCCACACAGATCTATGGCAGCAATTGGCCACTGTTCCCCTTTCAAACCAAGCACTACCTTGTGTGTCTCTTTTGGTGGGCAGAGTCAGGATAATCATGCCACTATGTCCATCCTTGTCAAGGAGTGGGGAGAGTGGAGAGAATGGGTGAGGGTTCTGTGAGTGGCCCCAACTTCCCCTAAATTTAGGCAGCCCTCACATAGTGGCCCACAGAGACGGACACCAATTCTCCTGTCTCAAAGAACAGAGTCAGGAGAATGGGCAGAACCCAGTAGTGGGTGCTCTCAGAGGGAAGACGGTATAAACACCAGGCAGAGCAGCAGCTGGCAGCAACAACTAAGCATTTTCCAGAGCAGAGAGGGGCTGGCCTTGCCATCAACACTTGCGGAAGGGTTGGGGGAAGGCAGAGCATGGGAAGTTAGCTTTGTGGCCTGGGTCAGGATTTCCCATGGCACAGGACAAGGCCTACTAGTACTGGTCATGGCCATGCTCTCTTGGGCTAACTACCCTAACCCTCATCCTGCCCTATCATGGGAACCTCCTTAAGTAGGCATGACCTTGACCCCAACCACAACCCAGTAACAACTCATGGTCCCCAGAAAGTGAAGCAGCAGCATGTCTGTCTCTGCCACTAACGGAGGGGGGGGTGTCAGATTTGCCCCCTGAAAGCTATGAACAGAAAGCCTTGGGAATAGAACCTGAACACAACCAGGGCCATGGGTCTCCCCAAGCCAGATCCCACACTGCCCCACTGAGCCTGCTGCTGTGACTAAGGCAGCCTCTCACTCTTAGGCTGTTTGTGTGTAGACAACATGACCCAGCCTGGAGCCCTGAGAGCTCAGATAAGCTTCCTGTGCCAGGGAAGGATAGGGCTGGGGGAGGGAAAAAAAGGGAAGTGGCTTGGGCTGTGGCTCTGTCTGTATCCTTGGTTATGTGGGATCCAGGACTGGGTGCATCAGTCTCCTGCTCTTGAAGCACTGGCCACTGACACATTGGAGGCAGACAACTGACAATCTCCCTAGCTAGGGGAGTAGTAGCTCCAGAGTGTATAAATGTGTGTATAAATGGGAGTGACATTGGACATCTGTCTGTCCTCTCTTGTTCTCCCTCTATGCCAGCATGTATATTCCAAGTTCTCCTGCCCACTGCCCTGCTACAGAAGTCTTGGGTACTAAAGGTCTACCCTCTGTAGGTTGAGATAAGTGGGGTGGGCAGGAAACAGAGATGGGTATCCTGCTGTGTAAACTGAGACAGTCAAGCCTCAGAGGGCGGAGCTCTGTCTTGTCACAGAGCTTCTCAGTGGCCTTACTTCTAACAGCAATGCCTGACAACTAAGATCAGAATAGGAGTCAAAGGGAGGGGACAAAAATGGCTCAAGGCACAGAAGGGCTGGGTTACAAGGGTGCCGTATTATTTAGGGAGGAGATTAAGACTCGGTCTAATGTGTCCCAGGCTGGCCTCAAACTCCCTAAGTAGCTGATAACCTTGAAGTTCTGAACCTCCTGCCTCCACCTCCTGGTGCTAGAATTACAGAGTGGATCATCATGCCTGGTTTTAAAGGGTGCTGTTTTGAGTGGTACAGCAAGTCACTCAGGGAACAACTGCTAAAGAACAAGGTGACAAGGGGGTCCTAGCAGCCATTACATACAGGGCACACAGTGGACAGCAGACTGCGGGGCCCTGAGTGGCACTGGCCAGCCCCTTACTTGGGAAACTGAAGCCAAAAAGACTCTTTGTAGGAGCACCTGAGAATAGTCCAGAGTCTAGCAGCTCGGACTTAGGCATCTTGCAAGGAGCAATGGATGACCAGTCCCAGGTAGTGGACATGAGGCTATCCCCAGACAAAGCCAGACCCAGGGAACCCGCAGCTCCATGGTCAGGGCCAGGTCTTCCCTACCTGCTCATCCCATGGCTCCCTTCCCAGGGTAGCAACGTCACCACCAATAACCTAGATTTTAACCAAGAAATTGCACACCCCCTTCTCTGCCCCACTTACAGGCCTGCTGAAGAGAAAGACACAATGAAACCTAGACTGTGCACAGGGGCCAACAGAGCAGGGCCAGCCCCACAGCCTGTCTGTCTTCCAGTATACCCCATCACCACAAAATGGTCAGGTAGGATTCCCTCTGACACCCAAAGCCCCACAGAGAAGCCTTGGTGAGGTCCCTGCCCACAGTCCCTAAAACTGGGAACTATGTATAAACCAAGAGAGCTGAAGTATTCACCTGGCCTGACCAACTGCCCAGCCTCTTGTTCCCACCCGACACATGCCAGCTCTGCAAAACCTTCCAAGTCCTCCGTCCAACTGGCTCCTCAGAAAACCTGTTAAAGTAACTGGGCTGTCCCTGTGCAAGAAAAGTTAAGGAGTCTGACAGTCAAGCAAAGAGTGGGTTCAACACATGGGATACTGAATATACTTTTGTTCTGTTCCCACTCTCCCAACAACCCACAGCCAAAGTCACCTTGGAGAGGCAGGGGCTGTGCAAGAATGATCCTGTGGGATAAGTACGGATGAAGAGTGGGTTCAACACATGGGATACTGAATATACTTTTGCTCTGTTCCCACTCTCCCAACAACCCACAGCCAAAGTCACCCTGGAGAGGCAGGGGCTGTGCAAGAATGATCCTGTGGGATAAGTACGGATGGGATCCTTTCCTGACTCTGTGGAGTCTCAGTGAGCATCCTCTGCCCAGACCCCATGGCAGAGTTATGTCAGCCATCAATAGTCACAGCTCCTACACTACAGAAACGTCCAAGACTTGGGGTCCGGGAAATGAAGGGTCTTTGGTCCTTCCTGTCCTCCTAACCAGTGGTCAGCAGGGGTGGAAGACCCTACACACTGGTAGATTCCCTGCACACTGGTAGATTCCATGGAGTGGGCCTACCCACCCTGACCAATTCAGTGGCTAGCATGTATCTTGTTATCAGGAGAAAACCAGCTACAGTCCTCCCCATGAAAAGGAAACAGAAGCTATCTACACAGACCCAGGAGGGCCTGAGCCCCATTCTGAAGCACTTATACAAGAGTGCAAGATTCATTAAACCCTAAGGAGACTCCTAGAGGTCAGAGACCTTCAGCTCCTTCATTTGTTCAATGTCAGGCAGAAACTCTGCACACTATGCTACAACTCTGGCAGACTAGTGTCCATCACTTCATGCAAAGGATCGAGCTCCTGCCCAATTCTCCCGGCCCACACACCTTGCCTGAAGCATAGTGACCTTCTATACCAGGCTGCACTCATACAGGCCCTCTGTAGGCTGTATGCAAGGATGGCATAGTGCCAGGCTCTGCCATGTGTTACCTGCATAGTTTCCTGTGGCCTTAATGTACATCTGGCCGTACTGCTCCTCCACCATGGTATCATAGGCTTCGTCATCCTCCTCATCCTCCTCATTGTGGTAGGAGGTGGGGCTGTCAGTGGTGGGCAGGCTGCTGGCCCCAGGACTGGTCCGCTCCCCCTGGGGATAGGGCACCTGCTGGATGCTAGGGATGAGAGTAGCCAGGCTTGGCACACCATAGTAGGAGACTCGCGGCAGCTTCAGAGGGGCTGTGCCAGGTGTCCCTACAGCACCTGTGGCTATTGCCATACCATCTCGAGAGCCTGTCTCCAGTGGGCGCTTAGAAGCCAGGCCCAGGCCAGTGGCAGGTGGCATCTCCATGGCTTCATGCTTTACACGGGTCAGAAGTGGGATGGGCACAGAAGGGGATGCGACGTAGGCAGCAGTGGCCGGTTGCAGCTGGTTGCAGGGACTCTGGGGCTCTGAGCTGGCATCCTCAATCATGGCGGTCTGTGAGTCACAGTGGGGTGAGCTCACCTTGAACATGAGGTCTGTGCCCCGCTCTACAATGTGCTGGATCTGCAGGAAGCCTGCCGTGTACATGACCACGAGCTGCTCACTGGCCGCCATGGTGAGCTTGCCTGTGTAGCAGAAAGACAGAATCTGCTGGAAGCAGGCGGGCGGCACAGTGCCTGGCAACTCGAATGCACTCTTGCTATTACCACTGAAGAGGTCTCGGAAATAGAGGCTGCTGGCGGCCAGGACTGCACGGTGGGCCTTGAAGGCCTGGCCCTTGACCACAATGGACACATCACAGTAGAGGCCCAGCAGGCGCTGCTCATTCAGACAGCCAAGCACTGTGTTCCCAAAGTTGGGGATCTCGATGTGCAGCATTTGAGACATGGCGGGTGCCGTGGTGGGTGGGCTTCAGACTCAACGTGGGACAGACTGGATGAGGCACATCTGTGGAGGGGACATGGTGGTCAGTTAACTGTCAGATGCTCTCACCCCATCTCGTAACCACTCCCAGCCTCTGGCAAGGCAAAGGACAGTGCCCTGCTCAGGCACTCACCCTAGTTAGAATGCCCCCACCCCCCGGGGGCTTGAGGGGTAGGATTCTCAGAATCCAGATCCTGGCTTGGAAGCAGGACAGAGTGATCCCGAGCCCCTACACAAGCAAGAAGCCCTCTGCCACCTACCCCTTCCATGGCACTCATGGACCGCTCCCAACAATTCTGAGGGCAGGGTTTCGTTCTCCCATCTCTGCAGAAGACACAGGACTGAAGCCTCCAGAGAACAAGACAGGAGTGAACTAGACAGACAAGTCACCCACTGATTGGGATGGGAGGGGTAAGAACGGAGCCCAAGAGCGATCTCAGGGACTCTTCTCTAGAGGGAAAAAGTTCCCTGAGCCAAGAAGCCCCTCACTGTGCAGCCTTCCCCGGGAAGGCCGTCCCAGAGCAGGGAGGGCTTTAGTTTCAGGTTTGTTTTCTCTTTGCCGGCTGAGCAGCCTGCGGAGGGCACTCTGAGGAACTGCAGAGCAACTGTCCCCCTCCCATATCCCTTGCTCAGCTTCAAGCTTCCTCTGACGGACAAGGAGGGATGAGGAGCATTAGGAAAGTAGACTAAGGCCGGGAGAACTCTGTGGGCTCCTTCCTCCACTCCTCCCTTGGGGACAAACCTCCATCTGCCGGATGGAAGGGCTATGGGTGCGCTCTGTGCTTCGTGGAAGCTCCCGGCTCCCCAAACCCGGCCCCAGGTCCTGAGCGCCCTCAGGGATGCAAAAGGAGTTGGCGCTTGTCGCAGAGCAGCCTCGCGCCTGTGCGCCCTCCCTCCGCCCCACTTCCAAAACTGGCCAATCCCTGCTGGCTTGGTCCCAGCCCAGGTAACTAGAAGGGTCTCAGGACTAAACCCGCCAGGGGGCAGGGGTGGGGGCAGGCCGCCACTGTTTATCAGCACAGGACTCTGCCGATGGCGGGTGGGGGTGGCTGGAGAAGGCGCAGGCCCTGGCCCAACTCTGCAGAGCCGCACAAAGGGCCGCTGTGTCCCGCGGAGGAAAGTGCGGGCGGCCGCAGAGGCGCCGGGTGGCTGGAGAGGAGGGCG